CTATATAATCGTGTTCTCTCTACTTTAATTGATAGAATAATAGCCGTATCCACTAAACAGTGCTATAAGGAGGATAAAAGGAGGGGAAATATTACCTTTGACAGTCACAATAGGCTGGCGTATTTATCAGCTGATGCAAAGGTAGCTGGGTTAAATTATTTATGACAGTGGGTTATTATTATTACATATATTTTTTTCACTAAAAGCATTGAAATATTTTCTTAATGTTAAGAATACTCCATTATATCATTGAGCAAATAATTATGTAGATTACAGTCATGCATATTTTGAATAGATATTAGATGAACAAAACAAAAGTTTAGGAAACAGTTAAACGTTTACATATTTTTAATGACAGCTGTTATAGTAAAAAAAGATAACTTTGTGGTTGACGAAATCTATACACTTTGCCGGTCCAAATATTTCGCAAAAAAAAAAAAAAAAAAAAACTTTAGCCCATCTCCGGCAAATTTCATTTACTTCCTTTTCTGAATGTCTTACACAAACTCTCTAAAGACTTAATAAAGAATTTTCTAAAATATAATGATCCATTTATCAAAGTACTTACCCAGAAATTGCATAAATTGCATCTCAGATATGAATAGTGATATAACAGAGTTTATATTCATCGTATACGAATTCTAATTTTCAGATCATCCTATGATCTTTTTTAATTATTTAATATTTAGATTAATTGGTTCTATAGAATTTATTAATAAGATAACACACCAGTGGCGAATAATGTAAATAAAGATTTAAAAAAACGAAATTCGTCCACTTGTGAATTCTCGGCCTCGGATCAGCTGGAGGAAAGACACCGAGACGCCTTTTCTCTAAATTATTAAAAATGGCTAGTTATTTCGGATTAGAAAAGCTTGTTAAGGCTGCCAGGATCATCAAGCACCACGGAGGCATCAGAGGAGCGCTATATCAGCTTTACAGGTAAGTTCCTTTGGTATGCAAATGATCAAAATGTATATATAGTAATTTCGGTTCGTGAATGTAGCAATTTTTAGTTTTTTTTATATATATATATTTTCTTTTTATTATTTCGTATATTTTCTTTCGTCATTGATTGTATTCTAATATTTGCAGAACACAATTTCTAGTCTTACCCTGTTATTTAAAAAGCAATATCAGTTATAAAGTGATTGATGTGTTGTTGTCTGCAGAGTTTTCTTCTGTTCTTATTTACGGTAATCTTAGTTTGGACATAATTGGTAAATACAAATGATTACCCTGTTATTAGACCTATAACTTTTATTAGTATTTATAAACAGTTGTTCCCCAGAGCTTATAATCCTAGTAATTCGACATTGGCTATTCAAGGCCAAACAAGACCTGGACTTTACACTCACGCAGAAGGCCTTCATTCCTTATTTCTCTAAACGGCTCTGGGTAATTGCTTATGCAGTAACCACACTCCTTTGAGACTAACGGCCATATGTGAAAAGGAATTGTTGAGCATGTGTATTGAAACGAAATCATTTAGCAAGGAAAGACCAAATCAGACAATATGTAGTATAAGGTAGTGGCAGAGTTGGGTAATAAAATGAAATGATCGAACAATACAAACCAAGACAAAGTTCTTCTGTGGCAATATGTGTGCAAATGCTTCCCAAGGCTGCTATACGGAAAAGAAAAAAGAAGATCCCCCAATTTTGGCTAAGTCGCTCATCTTGTTTACTTTGCAAGGGTGAATTCTAGACGCATATACTACTACGGGGGTCCAGGGGGCATAGCCCCCTGGCTAGGCATATGTAGTACCACAGGGGCTCAGGGGGCACAGCCCCCTGGCTAGGAAATAAATACCACAGTGTAAGGTTAGGTTGGACATTGGGTTAGGACATTTTGTTTAACAACCATAGGGGTCCTGTTTTACCCCATAATTTCCCTGATATACTTCATGCCCTCCCCTGCTATTGGGACTATCAAATCAAGATTGTTAATGGAGATGGTGACCATATCTCCTCAACGATTCATTTGCACAAGGAATAATGCCTAGAATTGTTGAAAGCAGTAGATTTCATGCCGAAAAATCTTCTCTTTGCTATTATGTATAGCAGCCTTGGGAAGCATTTGCACACATATTGCCATAGAAGAACTTTGTCTTGGATTGTATTGCTCTATCATTTCATGTAGGTTTTATTAGCCAACTCTGCCACTACCTTATACTACATATTGACCTTGATATTATGAAAGTTGTGCAATATGTAATATTTTATTATGCATTTACAATTTGATGACAATATCACAAACTACACTCATTGACATATGAAATAGTCTACTACGGCAAATAGGCTAATAATGTCAGAAATTAAGAAAATAGGTCGTAGCAGATGCCACGTGTAGAGTAAGTCCACAGTGATCGGGTAGGGGTCTGGTGGCCACAGCAGGGAAATACAGCAATCAGGGGGGGGCTAGGGACAAAGGCTCCAGGTTGGGAAGGTTTTTGGTTCAAACAACGATGCTGGTATGTTTGTGGATCCTCAGGAGTGGCTGGAGTAATATTGACTTAGTCTCAGAGGAGTGCAGTCACTCTGTAAAGTTACATTACCTTCATTTAAATCTTTTGCGATGTAAAATGACAAATAATTCCTTCATATTACTATGTGAACAACTGAAACATGGAATAATAAGTGCAAAATTAGATGGCTGTGTGGAACTATAAAATTATCAATATAAGATGGGATTATACTCTTGCTTATAATTATAGTTTGCTTATAATTCTTAGTTTACAAGGTCTTTTTTGTGTGTGTGTGTGTGTGTGTGTGTGTGTGTGTGTGTGTGTGTGTGTGTTTAAAATTGTGATCCCGTAATTTCGCAAAGCTTGCAGCTGTAAGTCGCATTTATTCTAGCCAGTAAGCTTGGGGGCACTCCCAGGAATCTGGGATTGCAATGAAGGGGTTATGGCTCAAGCACTTGTAACAGGCAATTAAAAAGCGTGAAAATTTAAAACACAAGCCAAGGTTCAGTTATGGGAAATTCAAATTGGCATTGGTTACTTGAACAAATGAATGAACCCTACCTTCTGTGTATAATTATCCATAAAGACTGCTTTACAAAACAAAAGCCATCCTCACTTGGGGGGCTTTGTCCCTGAACCCTCACCCAGTTGTTGTATTTCCCTACCCTCCTTGTCACCATAGTCCCTAGCAGCCCCAGATTCCATCCAGATGCTGCATTTTCTTAGCTGACTGCCTCATTTATTAAATTACTTAGTAATTTGAATATCAAAGGGGCACAGTGGCTGGGAATGTGACAAACCTCAAATTCTTGTTGGTTATACCTTGCTTGAAAGTGATTGTTATACTTCATAGATTTAGTATTATCCTTAGGATTGTAACAATTTCATTATGAGTTCATTTTCATTGGAACATGAAGAAAGACTTTGGAAATATAAAATAACACGGCTCCAGTCTTCATTTTTAAAAGGTACTGTGAGTACTGTAACAACCAAACTCATATCTGCTGGTGGAGGGTTGCTTGTGCACAACTATGGATGTATAAAGTATTGTAATGAAAAAGAAACATAGGCAGGATAATATAAAATCCATGATGTAGAATAGGAAGGTAAATTATTCTTTACTAACATAGGTCATTAATATATCAGTTATTGTAGTTTTTTTCTTCTTGAAAAATGTCCAGGTACTTGGATTTGGACTTTCTTGTATATCTTACTACTTAATTTTCCTCATTTCTCTTGGTTATGTTAATACACCATACACAGGCAATATCTGTTCATAGTCCAATGTGTATCTCACCTCAGTTACCACATAGAGTGAATGCAGATTAAGCATCACTTTTCTGTTCCTTTAGCACTTTCCTTATGATTACAGCAAAAACATTTCACATATGTATGCTCCGAAACAGTTTTTATTAAACTGCTATTCTTGTTCATTAGGCACTGCATGTAAATGAATATATAAAAAAAACTACTTACTTATTTATTAAAGGTTTGTCAACTACTACTCACCCAAAGAATTTATTTGGTTTGTAAGTTATGTATAGCTTCTGTTAATAGTAAAAAAGGCTCTTTTTAAACCCTTTTTTTTATAGAATTGGAAAAAAAAGGATTATAAGTAGAATTAGGAGGTGATATCATCTGTGATTGTTCAAATGTTTTTTCTTTTTATATGTCATGTAACTAATTTCTATTTTTACAGAGTGGATGACTTGAAAGTTGGTACCTTAGTTGGAGAAGATGCCAGGGGCAACAAATACTATGAAGACCCAAAGCTCATGCTAGGTGCGTGCTCTGCAGTTTCTCATAGTTGTTTTTCATGCTTTCTCTCCATATGTAACATTACCTCTTTGGAAACATGTTCTATACTTGTATTAAGATGATCTGATGGAATGGATATATCTCTGAAGCAAATTGTCAACTCCAGGTCGCAACAGATGGGTCGTGTACCATCCCAGTGTAGGCACAGACTACGATGGCTCAATGATTCCAGCTGAATGGTTTGGCTGGCTGCACCACAAGACTGACAAGCCCCCAACTGAGGTGAGATATTATAAGTATTTAAGTTTTTAAGTTTTTAACTTTAGTTTTATTTATTCATTTATTTATTTTTATTTTTGTTGTTGTTGTTGTTGTTATTGTTGAACTAGACTTTTGTAAACTTTGTCAGAATTTTACCCAATCAAAGCTAGTTTAATTACAGATTATAATTCTTCTTACATGTCAGAACAAGTGAGATATTACTGTGTTTTCTTATGTTTTTATCTTCTTATCTGTAGGAAGCCCCTGTCAGTTACAACTGGTTGAGCGGCCACGAGGAAAATACCAGCGGAACGGAAAAAGCTTTCATGCCATACACCACCACGAAACCCAAGATTCAGGCCTGGGTTCCTCCGAAGAAACAGTAACTTTGGTCCAGTAGTGTTATTTATGATCAGTTTGTAAATGAAAGACAGGTTAGGTGTGTTTCATGAGCAGACTTTTATTTCTTCTAATTTGGGGGGGAGGGATATTGGTGACTTCATGATGAAATTAAATTTTTATTGCTTCTTTTTCTAGAGGCTTTAAGTTCACTGGATTGATATACCTGATGAATAAAGAAATTGCCATTAATATAGATTACTAGTTTCCAAACATGTAAATATTTCGTGTATAAAGGTTAATGAAAATGAACAT